CAGCAAATTCTATTGTGTTGCTACCCAAGTGGGATTTAATCCAAGATAATTCCGAAAGTTTAATGACATCAGTGATTTTTTGGGAATAAACATGATTTATTCTCATTGGACTGTCGGTGGTCTTATTTTGGACAAGACACAATTAATGTTGCAGAAAGTTCAATCATAGCAAACAGTCGAAGTAGCCATATAATTGGCAATATTTTCTGCTATTTTCCAAACCATAAACTCGAAAACTAATCAAATCCATTCAAAAGAACTTTCTTCAGGCTTGTTGTTTAATTTTCAGACCTTTTTCTGGCTGATAAAACAATTCTGAGTTCCTTTTTAACAATCATACTCAATGGATTTTTATGAGATTTTTTATTTATATTTTGGGGAGTTTTTAAATTACAGTTACTGTAGATGTATAAGAAATTATATTTTGAGATGGGGGGTGAAAGAATATACATTATAGAATAACATTCGAAAAAATGGCATCCCTTCATCGAGGATAACCAATGAATACAACAGAATGAAAATGTACAACTATGACCCCCATTATTGTACAACCTGTGTCCCCTTGGACCCCTGACCCCCCCCCCCAGGGGCTATGATTATGCCTCATGATGTTGATCTGAGCTTGTCTTAATTGAATTTTTCTAAGATACCACAAGTCATCCATGTTAAAGACTTTCTCGTCTTTGATGTTGAGTGGTATTAAATGATCAAACTTTTGCTGGCATCATTTATTAAAGCAATTACACGGGGCTTTCTTTCCTTTGTTCAGAACCAAGAATAATTCTTAATTTACAATAAACTGTTAAACACTGTCCAAATAACTTACTCTCCAAAATAATTTAATAACATTTTTTTACTGATTTATGATAAAGACGGATTACTTTTTTGCAAAAATTATTGTCATCACAATTGATGTTTCGCATATCACGCCAAGGCATACTAATCGAAGGAACACTTTTTTCAAGAGTAATTACCCAAATAGATTTTTTCAAATGTGTTTATGGAAAAAAACGTGACACTACTACATTATGACTAAGCTATTTAATATCTCTTATTGAATTGCTATAATGCTGATAGACCTAAAACGCAACTAAAGTGTTTTCCTTGACAAGTTTTGATCTGTTTTTCACGCCTGGTTTGGATTGAATGTTTCTCTGTCCCTGGATTTATGCTCTTCTCTCCAAAAGATTTCCCCATAGCATTTAGTTAAGAATGACTTCTATTATAGCTGTTAATTTAAAGTATTCAGGATTATTTCTTTAGTTATGTCCATAATATCAATGTCAACATTATGATTTCCTCGTATAAGGTCATTCAATATGTAGTATTACTGATTATCCCATCGAACGAAGTTCGGAGGGATATAGGGAACGCCTCCGTCCGTCCGTCCGTACGTACGTACGTCCGTCCGTCCGTCCGTACGTACGTCTGTCCGTCCGTACGTACGTCCGTCCGTCCGTCCGTCCGGGCAATAACTCAAATACCGTTGGCCCGATTTTATTCATATTTTGTATACATATACCCTATGGGGGTAGAAGTTCTGCTCGAAAGTCGATTTTCAAAATGGCCGCTCATTTAAAAATGGCGGCCATTTTAGTGCCGATTTTACAGTAATTTAGGTGCAATATGTAAAACTGTAATAGCAATATGTTTTAAATGTAAAAAAAATTATATAGGACATTAATAAAGCTAGAAATGTAGATATAATAAAAGCACATGGCAGCCATCTTGAAAAATGGCGCCCTTTTCTCGTTATTTTACGATTTTTGCTGTAACTCGAAAAGTAGTGGAGCGATTTTGTTCATATTTGGTATGTGAATACTATAAGCATGGCACACTGTCTAATGACACTTTTGGTAGAAGGTGGCCATTTTGAAAAATGGCGGACATTTTGAAAAATGGCCGCCATTTTAAGTTATTTTACTAAAACTCGAAAAGTAGTGGAGCGATTTTGTTCATATTTGGTATGTGAATACGTATAAGCATGGCACACTGTCTAATGACACTCTTGGTAGAGGGCGGTCATTTTTCAAAATGGCCGCCATTTTAACGTATTTTACTTTAACTCGAAAAGTAGTGGAGCGATTTTGTTCATATTCTGTATGTGAATACTGTAAGCATGGCACATTGTCTAATGACACTTTTGGTAGAAGGCGGCCATTTTGAAAAATGGTGGACATTTTGAAAAATGGCTGCCATTTTAACTTATTTTACTATAACTCGAAAAGTAGTGGAGCGATTTTGTTCATATTTGGTACGTGAATACGTATAAGCATGGCACATTGTCTAATGACACTTATGGTAAAAGGCGGCCATTTTTCAAAATGGCCACCATTTTAACGTATTTTACTATAACTCGAAAAGTAGCGGAGCGATTTTGTTCATATTTGGTATGTGAATACTATAAGCATGGCACACTGTCTAATGAGACTTTTAGTAGAAAGCGGCCATTTTTCAAAATGGCCACCATTTTAACGTATTTTACTATAACTCGAAAAGTAGCAGAGCGATTTTGTTCATATTTGGTATGTGAATATTATAACCATGGCACACTGTCTAATGACACTTTTGGTAGAAGGTGCCCCTTTTGAAAAATGTTCGATGGGATTCGCTACGCTTTGGCGTTGCCGTTGTTCTGGTTTTCATTATTTTGAATAAATCGATTTAAGTGCAGTCTTTGAAATTCTGATTTGATCTTGTCAATTATGGTTGTTCCTGAAATTCTGTCGAAATCTATTCATGATATATATTGTATTATATCTCTTGTTTAATTGTTGATGCCATTTCTGCAACTTGATCGTTTCTAATGTTGAGCATTTGATAATAAACCCAATCAGTGAAGTTGATTACCTATCATTTTACAAATGATTGAAATCATTATCTTGCACAATACTTAGAAAAGGAAACAGAAATGTCATTAAACAGTTTTGCAAAGAGTAATATGAGAACTTGATCTGAAGTAATTGCTAAATAGCTATAAAGTAGGTGTAATCACAGCCGATCCATAAAGTTGAATAACCATCATGTTTTCGAATGCAAAATATAGTACAAAAGAATGGAATTAGCAAGGAATAAAGTAAACTGGCATGTACTCAGTACTCCAAATTATATGGAAATGTAAGAATATCAGACACTTTATTCAAATTTTCGAGAGTAATAGAGTAAAATAAGCATGAGCAGACGGACACTTTGACCATGATAAGACTCGAAAGTGAAATATGAGTTCTTGATGAAAAGCGTGATTTATTGAGGTTATCATTGGCACAGTTCAGTAAAACGATTCATTAAGAGTTTTACGATATTTCAAATGGACTTTATTGATTTATAGATAAACTTAGAGTGTATTTTGCTCTAATTGTGCTAATTGGTCGAGAATTACAGATTGAAAAAGGATCTTGGAGCACTTACCATCAATCTCGAAGATTTGTGACCCCTCTATCAAGTCGAAGTGACAGCAGAAATATGCTGAATTATTGCCATCAAAAAGCTCAAAATGGGGACAGAATGATGAATTTACCAGCCATTAATGATAGGTCTTTAAGATTGATAAGCCATGACCATTGCATTCTAATTTATCAGAGTCCCTCATTTCTGGGAGTTTCTGAGAAAATAAAAGGCCGCTATGCAGTATACAGTATACCATTAGTAAGTTTTTAAAGCAGACATCATTGCCTGAATTTGCAGATATTTTAAATGGCTTAGCTAGGGTACATTTCACACAACATTCTAGTTAGGAATTCCATTATCCACGTCTATTGTTCTCTAATTATGGCATCGTGATCTCCACGGATGGTAACACAATAGATCAAGGGACTTCTGATTTGGGTTTAAGAAATCCATTCCTTATAATAAACGTTACAATTGCGATTGCAGTTAATTTTTTCTCGTTATATTATCCTATCTTTCATGTACATGCCAATAATTACCCAGAAAAACTGAATTAATTTCATTCTTGATATAATTACAATGATGGGAATTGATCCTGTTTGGAAGAAAAAAAACATTATTCACTTTGCACTCAGTTATAGCCGTCTTTGGGCCATTACCTTTTAAAACGAATCGTGCAGAGATAATATACCCTCTCGCTCAAAAAGTCGTCACCATCTTATTTTCTTGTATGAATACACATGCAAAATGTTGATTCCTTTATAGATTATACATCAATCTTTAACAAAATATTAAACAATGGGATAATCCTTACAAATTTTTAATGAGAAACCACCAAAATGTGTTGGCGATATCTATAAATCGTCTGATATTTCAGAGGTTTTGTAAGAGAATAAAGATCCCGAAGGATCGAAAAGAAAAATCAAATAATCACAGCAATTGATTTTTTGTGTTCCTTCCGTGACCCCATTGAGTGGATTCCTGATTGGATTTTGTCTAAATATACCCAGGGAATGTTGCATTATCTAAAATACTCAAGGTTTTAGTTAAGTCCTTTGATTGATTCTTGGTTCACATTTGGGGAATTCCTTTCACTTAGTGACTCCATTGAGCCAATTGTGTTAAGATAATTGTGCGGAGATCAAATGTCTCTATAGGTACAGCTAATTCGCCATGGAGACCACTAACATCAATTTTTAAAATACAAAATAGAATGAAAATAGTGGAATTAGCAAGGAACAATGTTAATGGCCATTGAGTTTGGACTTCAAATCGTAAAGAAAAGCAAGAAAATCAGATATTTCAATCTTATTTTTGAAGATATGTTATGGATGAAGCACGGGCTGAAAATCTTGAGAGAATGGGAAGTTTTTTAATTGTGAATAATGTTAGATTAAATCTTGATCAGATCATAGATCTCCCGATGATTGTATCATATGAATTCAGCACTCAAGTCGTGTCTGATATATATCTATTCTCATTTCGCTTAAATTGAAGTTCTAAATCACTTAAGCCCTTACTTTCATGAAATTAGCCTACCCAAAATATGTTAGAATCAACGTGTAACATTTCTATTCTATATATTTATGTATGTATGTCTCTGTGTGTTTCAGATAAGCCGTGTTAAGGTACAAGATTGTGGGCAGCACACATCCTGTGACACATGTCTTGGGCCAACTACCAGAGACCCCTATTGTGGCTGGTGCTCACTAGAAAACAAGTAAGACTTGAATTTTCACTGATTGAAGGATTAAAGTTGTGTTTATCTCACATAAACAAAACAACCCTCTCTAATTTCGAAAGAAGAGGCAAATGTCAAATTTAGTAAGACCTACAGTAAAACACCTCCATTAGTGGAACACCCATTCACAAAATGTAAAATAAACAAACCTCTGTAAGTGGAGGACCTCATACGTGAAAATTAGTTTGGGGAATCAGAGGGATTCCACCTACAAATTTTACTGTACATATGAATACAAATCGGAAGTAGTCAGTTTTTGCTTTTATTCTCACATTCTCTCTATTTACCTATCGAAACATGATGTTCATTATATATCTCCATATATTATAGGTGTAGCCTAAAGTCAGAATGCCAAGGAAGTGAAAGCACTACCCGTTGGCTGCCATATATTGGAACTCAGTGTACACGTATAACCAGTGTATCACCTCACCAGGCACAGATTGAGAGAGAGCCAACGAAACTGAGTCTGCAAATCACTAACTTACCGCAAGATGGTGCTCTGATCGGGCAGTATCAGTGTGCATTCAGTATTGGTGAAGATCCTCTTACCACGCCCACAAGTTTGACTTCAACTGGGGTAGAATGTGAGACCCCTTCCCCACACCTACTACCACCTATACCCACAGGCAAAGGTGAGCTAATAATACATAACAATTCACTTAAATGAGGAACAGGCTCAAAATTCTACTCGTAGTTCTAAGTGCTTGTGCATCGATTAAGGAAAATTTGTGTTTTTTTTAATATCATCAACAGTATACATGATTTCCCAGAAGTGAAACAGCCATAATGGGATTCATATAATGGAAGATCGCTGTGATATTATTTGTATGAACTGTAGCCTCGCATAAGATAAAAAATTTACAAAAAATATTATGCTTTCAGATCACTTCGTCATGACGCTATCTGTCCGATTGAACAACAAAGATTTTGTGTCAACTAACTTCACTTTCTTCAAGTGCGGTCAGCACAGTTCATGCACGGCTTGCACTTTAAGTGCTTTTCCTTGTACCTGGTGTGTGCAGAGACACAAGTGCACCAAACACTCTGACACCTGTCTCAGTGATGTACTCGTCACTGGCAAAAACGTAAGTTTTCATTTATTTATTTTGATCCTAATAAAAAGAGTTCTCGGTTGTCAGAAAGATCTAGCGATCTTCTTACCTGAGAACATTGGAAAATCTTCGTTGATAAATGATAAAGATTATTAAATTATGGAAGTATTTTTGACCTTTTAAGAATGTCAAATGTATTTCATAGTAGGGAATTACTTCCTGGTTTAGGAATTCTAAATACACAATCTGATTAATTGTTGATTTTAATATATGCCTTAAATTTCAGTCCCCAGGGACATCAGATCGTCCAGGACCAGAATCATGTCCGAGGATCGAGGCTGGTTTTACGGAAATTCTCGTATCTTCTGGTTCAAGTAAGATTGTCAGTGTCAGGGCTGTGAACTTGATGGATTTCCAAACAGACTTCAAATGCACTTTCACTTTGGATGGTTTACAGACAGTCCCTGCAACGAGAACCAACAACATAATTCGATGCGATGGGAAGAGGGTAGGACAGCTTAATAAATATGAAAACCTTTTTAAAATCTGTATATATATATATTTCTAAGACTAGAATTTAATTTGAACGATTGTAATGAACTTATACTCACATGACATCTATATTATAGTTTGATTTACTTACCGATATACCTTAATGTATTTACATGTACACGCAATTACATGTTTCCGTCATGCACGTTGAGCAATTTTAAAAATCATGAATAATTTTCAGAAGCTTGTGTAGACACCCCATTGTGAAATAAACCTAGATTTATTTGTATTTGTAGTTTGAGTACTCAGTGAACACTCCTTACCACAATGTACCATTCAAGATTACATGGGGTCCTCAGAATAGACCCCTTGATAACCCCACTGATATTCAAGGTAAGGAAATACGGTAAAACCCGTCTAATCAAAAACTCAAAATACCAGAAGATTACAGTAATTTAAGTATTTAATTGGTTCCCATTCCTTCAGCTTTCTCCATTCCATGAATTTTGCATTTTTGAAAGTTGAATCCAATGCTTTTCCTTTTCAGTTCATCTTAGTATAATACATTTCCAGACATTGTTCCTACATGGCAATTATTTGTTTTTCTGACATTGCTTTGTTCGTAGGTCATCTGTCATATCTTCTGCTTTAATATGTTTTGTAAATGATTTTTATTGCGCCATTGAAGGTATTAATGTCACATCTGTCGATTTTAGTGAGTAAATTTATTATTATATATTTGTGTACATAAGCGGCTTAAGGTGGCTGTTACCTTAGCAACCCTGACAACAAAACTTGTCTGCTTTCTTAGCTTATTATGTCACCACCAAAAGTGGTGACATATTGTTATGGTCTCCGTTTTTTTGCGACGGCGTCCGGCGGTTGGTGGTTGGCGTCCGGCGTCCGGCGGTTGGCGTCTGTAACAATTTCTTACAACTTCCTATAACTTAACAAATACTGTTTAGACTGACTTCAATTTTTTTCTAAATCATCTACATGTTCTCAGAAGTTCAAATCTGACTTTAGATTTGACATTTGACCTTCAATGACCTTCTCAAGGTCAAAAAGGTCTTTTTTCAACTTGCTTCACATTGACTAAAATTTTTTTCAAAATCATCTACATGTTCTCAGAAATTCAAATCTGACTTAAGATTTGACATTTGACCTTCAAATCTGACTTTAGATTTGACATTTGACCTTCAATGACCTTCTCAAGGTCAAAAAAGGTCTGTTTTCAACTTGCTTCAAATTGACTAAATTTTTTTTTCAAAATCATCTAAGTGTTCTCAGAAATTCAAATCTGAGTTAAGATTTGACTTAAGATTTGACATTTGACCTTCAATGACCTTCTCAAGGTCAAAAAAGGTCAAAAATGTCTGTTTTCAACTTGCTTCAAATTGACTAAATTTTTTTTTCAAAATCATCTACGTGTTCTCAGAAATTCAAATCTGACTTAAGATTTGACATTTGACCTTCAATGACCTTCTCAAGGTCAAAAAAGGTCAAAAAGGTCTGTTTTCAACTTGCTTCAAATTGACTAAAAAAAATTTCAAAATCATCTACATGTTCTCAGAAATTCAAATCTGACTTTAGATTTGACTTAAGATTTGACATTTGACCTTCAATGACCTTCTCAAAGTCAAAAAAGGTCAAAAAGGTCTTTTTTCAACTTGCTTCAAATTGACTAAATTTTTTTTTCAAAATCATCTACATGTTCTCAGAAATTCAAATCTGACTTTAGATTTGACATTTGACCTTCAATGACCTTCTCAAGGTCAAAAAAGGTCAAAAAGGTCTGTTTTCAACTTGCTTCAAATTGACTAAATTTTTTTTTCAAAATCATCTACGTGTTCTCAGAAATTCAAATCTGACTTAAGATTTGACATTTGACCTTCAATGACCTTCTCAAGGTCAAAAAAGGTCAAAAAGGTCTGTTTTCAACTTGCTTCAAATTGACTAAAAAAAATTTTCAAAATCATCTACGTGTTCTCAGAAATTCAAATCTGACTTTAGATTTGACTTAAGATTTGACATTTGACCTTCAATGACCTTCTCAAAGTCAAAAAAGGTCAAAAAGGTCTTTTTTCAACTTGCTTCAAATTGACTAAATTTTTTTTTCAAAATCATCTACATGTTCTCAGAAATTCAAATCTGACTTTAGATTTGACATTTGACCTTCAATGACCTTGTCAAGGTCAAAAAAGGTCAAAAAGGTCTTTTTTCAACTTGCTTCAAATTGACTAATTTTTTTTTTCAAAATCATCTACATGTTCTCAGAAATTCAAATCTGACTTTAGATTTGACATTTGACCTTTAATGACCTTCTCAAGGTCAAAAAAGGTCAAAAAGGTCTGTTTTCAACTTGCTTCAAATTGACCAAATTTTTTTTTCAAAATCATCTTCATCTTTTCAGAAGTTCAAATTTGACTTTACAAGTTCTCAGAAATTCAAACCTGACTTAAGTTTGAACTCATAATATTGTGAGCAACTAGGTGGTGACATTTTGTCATGTTAATGCCTTGTATATATTCTGATATGCACTTCAAATTGAACAAATTGTCATAAGAGGGTTCATGCTTTTGGATAAAACTAGAGTGGCAGGGAGCAGAATTTAAATGAATAGAATTGACAGCCTTACGCTCTAAATTATGTAAAAAATATGGCATTTTATTCAAATTTTGAAGGGAATGTTTGTGAAGTATCCGCACCAATAGAGGGCACTGTTAAACACCTAGTTTGTAAATGGGTACTATCTCGATCCTATCTAATTTGCTCGGGTATCATTGACTCAACACAGGGTCTTACTCCCAACATGGGGCCTTACTCCCAACATGGGACCTTACTCCCAACATGGGGCCTTACTCCCAACATGGGGCCTTACTCCCAACATGGGGCCTTACTCCCAACATGGGACCTTCTCCCAACATGGGACCTTACTCCCAACATGGGGCCTTACTCCCAACATGGGGCCTTACTCCCAACATGGGGCCTTACTCTCAACATGGGGCCTTACTCCCAACATGGGGCCTTAGTCCCTAAAGCCCCTTGCATTATTATCACGTAAACAAGGGTCTAGATAGAACCCATGTTGTACATAAACTGAATATGTCCATATTTTTTTAATGTGAGTTTAGGTGGGTATAGTTTAACACTTTATGTTTGCGTATGATGTCCGTTATGCAAGCCTAGTTTGTTTTGCAGTCCAACTGAGATTATTTATTCCTCTACGCCCACCTTAATGGTTTGAATGACTATACTTCATATAAATCTCAATTATCACATATTATCCTTCTGCACACTCTGTCGTCAATTAGCATAATGCAAACCCATTTTATGTGATGGTCATGTTTTGAATTGCAAAATTGAGTGGAAAAGGGTAGAAATACCAAGAAATAAAGTAAACAGGCATGAAATATACACTCTGAATTGTATGGAAATGACAGAAAGTCATGCATTTCATTCAAATTTTAGAGAGAATTAGAGTGAAATAAACATGACCTCACTGACAATCTCTGCATATTCTTTCTTGAACAACTAGTCATCTTATGCTACTATTGTATGTAATTAATACTGTGTTTACTCTCTTTAAAACTAATTTCACTTGACTGAAAGTTTAGTTGAATTAACAATGTAAATAATCCTTTTGTTGCAATTTAGATTAACCTCTCTGCTTTTTAAACTCAGGATCAGTGATTAGGTAACAGTCACCATTTTAAATGCCATTCCAGTGAACCACCCCATATTGTAACCACATGACCTGACCCACCACAAATATATTCCCCATACATGACATACCACATAGAATTCATTCTCTGTATTGTAGTCAAGATCTACAAGTGTGGTACAATGGCGAGCAACTGTGGCGAATGTTTGACACGCGACCCTAAATATAATTGCGGCTGGTGTCAGCAGACGGGTGTATGCAGCAAAGAAGACAAGTGCATCTCCCAATGGCGTGACGGCAATTCAGTCTGTGATAACCCAATTATTACACAGGTATGGATCCAGCATATGAATGAGTCACAAGCTGCAGTTTGATCTCTTTCTCTTGATTCAATTATTTTATTATTGTCCTTAGGGGCTGATACTATTATTCGTAAAATACTTGCTGACTACATGAAATCACCATATGAATGGGAGATTCTGAGAGTTGACTTTTCAAATAAACATGGACCCTTCTGATTGAACCAAATGAGAAGGGTATATTTGCTATACGGTCTGGTTTCTAGGTTTTTGATGTCATACTTAACATACTTGGACAAAATTGTGAGAAGTTGTTAAGAATTAGTCATACTGTCCTGAACCTGCAGTTCTTGAAAATATTCAAAATATTGTGACAATTCACATTTTATCAAAACAAAATAGGCACCATTTAATCTCTCTTTTCAGTTCTACCCTAAATCTGGCCCAACTAAAGGTGGCACTAATGTCACTATTGAAGGCATCAACCTTGGAAAGCATGCTGATGACATTAAAGACCAGGTGACAATAGCAGATGTGCCATGTTACGTTTTTACTGACCTCTATGAGCCAGCATCAAAGTAAGTAAATATGTAAATATGTAATTGATTTTAAAAAAACACTGCCCAAATTAAAAAAAAGGTTATGATCAATATTATAAGGACATTAGGTTCTATGGCATTAACAATTGGTTACAGTTCCTTATGCAAGCCAAAAAAAACATTAGGGTTTTGTCGAGCTAGTACCTGAGTTGCCTTATAAATAACCTCATAACTGGCACACAGCCTGGTTTGTATGCTGCACTAGTTACTGAATATTTGTTCTAGCTTGACCATTTCTACTTTTTAAGTGTCAAAAGCCTGTTAAATGCTATGTTAGTGATATCACTCATAGAGAATTTCTTTAACTCTGAAATTAAATTTTATTTGATCAATTTATTTAGGATTGTCTGTAGAAGTGGGTCATCGACGAGGAGAGAGAAATCTGGTGTAGTTCAGGTTGTCGTAAACAATCAGGTCATCGCAAAATCTACTCAGGAATTCTTTTACGTGCAGCCGGCAATTACAAGAATCTTTCCTGCAAAGGGCCCAAAATCTGGTGGAACAAAATTGACCATATATGGGCAAAGTATGAACGCTGGAGCAAATATATCAGCAAGAATTAATGGCCTGTCGTGCAAGATGATCAGGTGAGATACCGAAGAATTTTACCATCTTATTTTAGTAATTCAATGTATCGCTTTCATCAAGGTTATTGCGGCATGTTCTTATATTCAATGTTTATCATTCAATAATGGACTTTCCTTGATATCTGCATACAAATATACTTGTTAAGAAAACTTGTTTTTAAAATAAGGCAGATCTTAAGGTTGAATCTAATTACTGCATAGATTTCATACTGCATTTAATTATGGTTGCAATTAACAATTTTTGCAGTATAATAGATACAGTGCCTGGGTTAACATATAAATCCTTCTCAAATATTGAACACATATTTGTCCCTCGCTAGTGAATAATATTTATATCTTCCTCCAGTGCGTACAGTGACAGGGCAGTATGTATAACAACTAGAAGTCCACGTCGTCAATCAGCTGTAGTCAGTATGACTTTCGACAATGATAACATCCAGGGACCCATAGGCAGTGAGTTCTCGTATGTTGCTGACCCAAATATAACAGAAGTGAATAGTCCTCTTGGCATCATCAGCGGAGGACTGAGCATTAAAGTTAGCGGCACAAATCTGGATTCCATTCAAGAACCAAAGATGATTGTCTATGTCGAAGATATGGAATTTTCGAGTGTAAGTGTTTAACTTTGTCATTTCAAGTACACAAGTTCTTTCGATTTTAATTTCTGAGAAAATATATCAAAGTGCACTACAAGAAAACACGGTGAAAATTTCAATTTTATACAAAATTAAGGATTTCGAAATTAAAGCAATTTATAGTCGAACAAATACTTACCATAACTCACTGGTATTAGTTTTAGTTTGCGTTTGGTGGTAACCTAAAATTATCCGTAAAAGAAATCTTGTATGTTACTTTGTAAAGGTATGCAATAAAGAAACAGAAAATATCCCTGTTGAATTCATCGTTCATATATTTTTCAGGATTGTCAAGTTCTGAGTTCCACATCGATGAACTGCAAATCACCGAATACGAATCCAAGTGGATACCTTAACAGCCCACTAACGCCACCTTTACAAGCAAGCTACGGCTTCTTATTGGATAACGTGAAAGCCATGAGAAATATCACAGCAGATCCGAGATTTGGAAAATTCACGATTCATGCAGATCCTGAATTTGAACTATTTCCACAAGGCGTCAAGTACTTCCAAGAGAAAAATGAATACCTGACAATTAATGTGAGTCTTTGTGTTAATTTACAATACAATAATTTACAGTTTACAATTTAGATTTACAGTTAGTTTACAATACAATACTAGTACACATTGGTTGCAGCTTTACCAATAAATAAATAAAAATGAGTGAACATTTTTTATATATTGATCGAGGTTTGTTTTCTATGTATGCATTCTAAAATATTATTAAAAATTTTTTTTTATCTCAGGGCAACAACTTGGATAAGTTAAAAAAGGAAGATGTTCAAGTCAAAATTGGTACAGGATATTGTAACGTGACTTCGATCGCACTAACACAGATGACGTGTAGGCCACCTGACAAACAGCCCACAGCTGAGAATACAAAATGGCCTAAAGTTATCGTAAGTATTTTAAGTGTTTATGTAAACAGATCATCCCAATATGGGAAGAATTTGTGTCATAGGACTACAGACACACTGATAAAAGTTTGAATAGGGTTCAATTTCATACCAATTCGTGACCCAGAAATACAACCTTCTAATTTTGAGAAATCTCTCAGGTCATGGTGGAATCTTTTTGAAATCTATTGTATAGCATAAACATTCAATGGAGCAAACAGTGGCTTACACCTAAGAGATGGAGATTTAAACAAATTACTTTTCCATCAAGGTTCCAATTCATACATGCTGAAATGATAAACTGGCTCAGTGTTTATGACACAGTATAAAAGATAAGCCGACATATTATTCAATTGATGCTAGATCAAATTTTAAAAATTTTAAGAAATGTCCAATTTTCATTTCATTTCAGATTGTTATCGGCAGTAATTTAACTTTTACAATTGGGGACTTGAGCTACGAGCAGCCATCTTCAATGGTTCTGCCCCTTAACATAATTATCATCATCGCCCTGGTCGTAATCTTAGTACCAGCCATTGTTGTCATCATTGGCGTGGTTTGCTACAAGAAAAAATCCAAAGAGCGTGATCGCGTGATGAAGAAAATGCAAACGCAGATGGATGTCTTAGAAAGTCGTGTAGCAAAGGAATGCAAAGAAGGTACAGTTTCTAGATCCCCGAAAATGCATCTTGGTTTTCTCATTTTAGATTTTTATTCCAGTTTAACTATTTCATTTATTTATGTCATCTTAGAACTAATTTCATACATTAACTATTAATACTATCATCAACAAGTCTCCATTTAACTGAACTAGTTCAATCTTTCTAATGCAGATTTGATTTATTATCGTTTATGTGTAATTTTGTTGATATCATGCATGCAGCATTCACGGATCTCCAAACTAATATTGTGAGCACTATCGCAGATGTGTCTGCCATAAGTGCCATATATGGTGGGTATTCAAATATTGAGGAAACACCCATTCTTGGCGTTCTTCTCTCTGGTGGGTCGTCTTTTTATCACTATAGATATTTATTGGGATCACTTAAAGTGTTGGCACACACTATTGAGTGGTTACATCTTTATTTCTGTTTTTTTTGTTTCTTGGTTCTTTTGAGACTTTTTTGTTATTGCCCAATCTCCCATAATTCTAAGCATATTAACTATATATTCCCCATACTAACAAACAAACAAATAAATGGTGTAAATGTCATAACATAACTGTAGTAAGAAAACTCCTCCTTTGATTTGATGTCATTGTTGCTATAGAAATGTCATAGTGATTCAAAAATACAAAGTTTGTAGTTCTACAGAGCATTCAACAACTAAAGCTTATTTTCACTCTAAGATATTCATTCATTGATATTTCTTGTTTTCAGAGAGAATTCATCAATCATATGTACATAAATCATAATAAATCTGCTGAATCATCTTCATGTATTACTGAATCAATGAGGCATAACACAGGCAAATGATTTGGGCCATTTTGTCATTTGGTCGAATTCAAAAGATTCTTTCTGATAGTAGGGGTTTTGGTATATCTTTATAGATCGACAAGAAAAACAGTATTTTCTATCACTTAATGTGGAGAGGCGGCAGTCTGGACACTTCTTTTTTATTATTCTTTGTTCACTTATTTATTTTCCTATTTATTTACTTTTCATTCCGGTGTTATATGGGGGTGTTTGGGTATCAAACAATTAAAAATGTTTATAGTTCCAGTGAACTCAAATTAAACTGATCCTGCATTATGGGAAATGGAGAGAAATTTGAATCGCATTTAAGAGCTTCAAGTTCTAGGGTCGCCTTTCTCTGCTTTCAGCTTTTGCCGAGTTACAGACAGACATAACAGAGTTGACCAGTGATATGTCAGGAATGGTAGGAATTCCGTTCAAAGATTATCGCTCATTTGTCATGAATGTACTATTTCCTAATGTGGATGAATACGACCACCCAGTCACCCGAGACCTAGATGTAAGTTATAATGTAAGCATATGGACTATTTTTTCTTCACCTAGAAATGTATCACCATAGTAATTATGATTGACTTTCTGTTTTAACAGTCTACTATACTGGATCAAGTCATACTCCAAAATGAGCTGTTCAGATAGTACTCATTCAATATCCATATGGGAATGTATAGTGGACTTTTAAAGGCTCTTCCTTAGCACCCAACTCTCTCTCTATATATAATATATATACATGTAGAATAAAGTAGGCAGTGGAGAAGTAATCTGGCTGATTAATTTGAAATTTTTGATGATGTAGGCTATTATACTGGCATTACACACATACACTCTGATTCACATGCTTATTAGGCTGTCCATTTACTTTGTGGTGTGTCATTCTCAGCTGGTCATTCTTGAAAATATTCAGGAACCAATCATATGTGCCCATGTATTTGCTGCATCACCAGGAGTCACAGCTAGAAATGGCCTTAGTATGGTTTCTATTTTAACTAATTCAAACCTTTGGATGTGAGAATTTCGTTGATATGTTTATATAGAGAATGGAGATTTCTGTTTTGTTGATCAAATGAAATGTGACGATCAAAACAATCAATCCCAAACATCCCAGGGAATGATGTGATTCAGAATGCATAAAGTCATTAGTTCAAAATAATGCCGCATTTATTTGATGTGACATCATAGATTTGAGCTCTTATGTGTTGAGTTATAATTTAAATGACGCTCTATTCCAGGTTGACCTGATCAAAAATGATGGAATGCAGAAAGGTCTGCGTCAGTTTAGGCAGCTCATGTACAATAAGACATTTCTATTGCTGTTTGTGCGCACACTTGAAAACCACAAGAGTTTCACTATGAGAGACATGGTCAATGTCGCTTCTCTCATCTCTGTGGCACTTCAGAATAGGATGGAGTACCAAACTGAGTAAGTTTAATGAAAATATATTTTATATTACAAAGTTGTTGATTTTCTTTCTCAGAGATATTTCTTTTTCTTTTTGACGTTTCGTAGGATGTCCATCCTACTTCTTCAGAAATAAAATTATATTTGAAGAAGTAGGATGGACATCCTACGAAACGTCAAAAAGAAAAATAAATATCTCTGAGAAAGAAAATCAACAACTTTGTACATTACTACCAGAGAGATGAACATTCATAGAAATATTTTATATTGGTTAATACCCTGCATTGTCTCTGTCTTACCTCATATAGTCTATTACTAAAGAAGTTTATAAAGGCAAATATACACATAAAGTTTAAATTTAAACATTAGTACATTATGATGCTATATCACCAGTTTCTTATTTTCTAAAGATGACTTTATAAAGTATATCTCGTTGCTGGACTCAAGTTCTAAAATCTTATTTAAGATTCAATTGGTTGCTATAGTTCTTATATATGTGGTATGTGTGTATTTAATTTTAAATATTATTAATGTTGCTATATGTTCTCAAATGTGATATGTTTGTATGTAAATTTTGTAAATTCTGTAAACATTGTCTACTTGCAGTATTTTAAAGACGCTGCTATCTGAACTTATAGAGAAGTCAATGGAGGGTCGTACCCAGAATGCAAAGCTGCTTTTACGTCGCAATGAGCGAGTTGCTGAGAAAATGCTCACCAATTGGTTCACTTTCCTGCTTTACAAATTCCTAAGTGTGAGTTATCTCGAAATCTATTAAACATGAACTTAATCAATTTAATAATGGTTTACTGTAAACTTTCTTATAAAAAAATTCAGTCATAAGCCTAAAACAAATGATTTTTGTCGCACTTAAAATGATATATGTTGTAATCATCTTGTCCAACTGAGTGTGTTGGGTGGGAGAAAATATAATATGTGGTGGAAAGGAGAGGGAGAGGTGTAGGGTTGGTGATTTCAAGGAATTCATTTTTTTAATTACTCATTTTATGAATAATGTCCCTAATAGGGAGTCTTCCACTCTGTGTATTGTATTACCTGGACTTTTAAAATAAAAATGATAATAGATCATGAGACAAGTAGCAGAGATCACGATAGTTGAAAAAACTTGTTAGCCATTGTGGCTAAATCTTCCAAAATATTTTTAGCCAACCAAAATATGAATTAGCCATTTTGAAAAACCGTAAAAAAGGGAATTCGCAATAGAGGTGTCACGGTCCAAGAAAATTTCGGTACGGTACGGAACGGTACAAATGGTCTCAACACGTTACTTTCGGGACGGGACGGGACAGAACATTAAAAATGATGAAATGTCTGATGATGACAGTTTCACTTTTCAAAATCATATTCAGGAATAAAAAACGTCCATTAAAATTGAATGTAAAGCATCTGCCGCGAATGTGATCGGCATTTAACATAGTCTGCACGGTGTAATATTACCAATTCGTTTACCTTGTGATATCAGAGTCCCAAAATACTTCCAAACTGCCGACTTTTTCGACTTAGATGCCGGCTCGATTTTTCAATTTCTTTCCTACATCCGGCATACTTATAATGCACTAGATTTGCGAACGACGATGAAGAAATTTACGAACAAGCATTACCATCTACCTGAAATCGCGGGTCCGTTAACAACACTTTTCAATGCAAAGAAGTGTAATCTAGGTACGAGGTAAGTGAAAATATTTCAGAACGAAATCGGAGGTGTTCCTCGCTATTTATACACGTTTTTATGCATTTTAGTGAAGGAATCTATGTACCGATATTAACCCTTTCTGTCCCATGTCCCGAACCGAAGCATCTGGACCGAAATTCGGTCCAATATCGGGAAACCGTGACACCTCTAATTCGCCATAACTGCGAAATACCTTTACATATTTTTCGCCACCTCTTTCGAAAATTCGCAATTGGCGAATGGCGAACGTCTACCGTGATCTCTGCAAGTAGTCTCGTTTCAGAATCTGATCAATCAATTTAGAATCAACATTGACTTTCCAGGAATGTGCAGGAGAACACCTATACAAACTTTTCCGTGCCATTAAACAACAAGTTGACAAAGGTCCTGTTGATGCCCTTAGCAGTGAGGCCAAGTATTCTCTAAGTGAAGACAAACTTATCAGGCAGCAGATCGACTATCACATTATGGTACGTATAATATGGGATGGTGGGGTGTTTTGGGGATTCTGTGTTGCATGATGCAGGGAGTGATTGCACTCATTATGAGCACATTCAATTTTGAACAGTGAGCACATTCAATGTTTAGTAATGGGCACACTTAATATTGAGCAATGGGCACACTTAACTTTGGACCTTTCAATGTTAAGAAATGAGCACATTCAATGTTCATAAATTGGCACACTTAATATTGAGCAATGAGCACACTTACCTTGGGCAGTGAGCAATTTCAGTGTAAAGGAAGGAGCACACTTAATTTCAATTGTAAGCAAATTCAACTTTGTTCTGAATATTTCATAGGATTAACACACACATGCTTGAATTCCATCCAAAGCTAAATACATGTACTGCATGGATGTTTATTACATTTTTATGCGCACATTTCTGCAGTATGCATCAACAAAACACCATTGATATCCAAAGCGTAGATTTATTTGCCCCTTTGATTAGAGGAACATATTTATTTTCATTTTATTTTATTTTACCTAATATGTCAATAATAATGTGGAGTTATAATGGCCATTCTTATATCACATTTGATCTTAACCCCTTATTTAACATTCATCGTAGATGGGCACCTTATCATACTAACATGGGGGCCATTAAAGGAACATTCCTTGCCAGACTATTTCTCTCCTGATATGGTAGCTACAATCATATATATACTTTACATATTTAGCAAAACACGGGGAAATGTTTTCATATGGTCAATATTGATCATTTAAAATTGTAGTACTCATTCCCAGTAAGCTGCCATCTTTTCAGATTTCTTTCAGGAAGTGATGTCATCGACTCTCACCTGTTATAACCTTGTCTATTACAGTATAGGAAAGAAGTACAAAATCATTTCTAAACGAGAAGCCCTTATCTTCTGTGTAAAAATATTTTCAGGAGTTGTCATCTTAGAACTAAAGAAGAGATCATCAAAAGGATTTTAATCATAGACCAAATTGAAAAAAATATTCAGCTGGTTTAGTAATTCTAATAGCTCCTTACCTAATGTTATATGCAAAGTTAAGAGTCGATGACATCACTTCCTGAGTGAAATTTTAAAAGATGGCAGCCTACTGGAATTGAGCATTACATTTTTTAGTGATCAATATTGACCATTTCAAAACATTTTTCTGTTTTTTGATAAACTTGCAAAGTATGTATATGGTTATAGCTACCATATAAGGAGAGAGATGGTCTGGCAAGGAATACCCCTTTAAAAGAAACTTCATGAAGTTAAGAATTTGTAAAGTCCATTGTTCTCTAACTATGACATCATTATATCCATGGTTACAACAATTGATTTACGAATTCGTAACTTTACAAAGTTTCTGTTAATGACCCCATGGTGACCAACTGCATTCAAATTGATGACTTGTAGAGAGAATTACGAGAAATAAGCATGAGCAGACGGATATTTTTAGTTTATTGTGTTGTAGACATTGCGGGGAATACGTGTGACACAGGATAACTGTGAGAATGACAGTAGTAATTACCCCAATGAGGTAGATGACACGTAATAATATTGTTGACGCTTGTTTGACACTCCACATCTTATAGCCTCAGTCACATTTGCTCAACAACGGCTGTACGGTGGACGTAGCTTCACAAAATTGATATACAAAATCTACATTGTATTGCTTATCCCATATCTTGTGCTGCCTATTTCTCTCGATTTCCGGAAGCTTCAGCCGCCGTACGGTTGCTGTAGATCAAATGTGGCTGCGCATAAGACACTGTATTTTAATGCTTTTAGTCAGTCACGCTTTCTCTTATTAGATGCTTTTGATCTTTAGAGCATTCCAAACTATTTGAACTCTTCACGGCAGAGTAGGATTTTGGATTTCTTGAAGTTTTTTTTATTGCATCTGTCGAATGTGATTTTTGCGCTTGTTTGCTTTAGTGCTAGTAATGAACAACTGTACATACATAAGCATTATCGGGGGCATATACGGTCCAATTGAAAAATCCATGTCACACACATCGTTATTATTACATTTAGTATGAGCCTACTTTGAAAGAATTTTGTATATGGGCTTAACTATGAATTTAACTGAATATAGAAAATGCAAATTATCAGAAGTTTCCTCTTTTGTAGAAATTGTGATTTTGACAACTATTAGGTATTGCTTATAGGCTTCTCAGAAACTTAACAAAACCTAAAGTATCCCGTCAGCTTCAAAGTGATATTGCTTAGGCTGTCTTTGTTTTAAGCAATCCCATTTTATCGCTACCTTGAAGCCAAACTTGTAGTTAGTCAAATCAGGTACATTGTATTAAGCTTGTTTAAGTATAAGTGGGTGAGTGGGCTACTGTCATTCAACAGATCAATATTCAGAACCCTCGTACAATTATATGCTACCCTCACTCATGTAAACCATATGTGATCCTCCACCTCACTCATGTAATGCATCTATTACCTTCCTGCAGTCACAACCTCCATACATTTGTTTGAAACCCTAGAGCAATTATTTAGAACTCTGTTACAATGTATTTTAACATTTTGGGCTCGTATCATACCTTACTCTGAACAAAAAATAATTTTCTCGTGTATCTTTGCAGACGACCAATTTGGTAGAAGCAGACAGCCAGTACTCAGATCAAGAGTATCCTGTGAAGGTCCTTGACTGTGACACCATCACTCAAGTGAAAGAGAAAATCCTAGATGCAATATACAGAAATGCCCCGTTTTCTAGTCGACCACACCATGAAGATTTAGATCTGGGTAAGGAGCAATTCTCATTGGATTATTCATTTACTCTAGGGGCGAGGAGGGAAATTCTCAATAAATGGAGTATAGTTGGTTTGGCAGCATTTTCAGTTAGGGGAGAGTCTTGGATGAAATTTCCACCTAGGTGATAGCTTCACAGAGTGGTAGGAAGTTCTTTTTTTTGAAGAGTTAGCCCCCTACCCCACAAAAACACCCCACCCCAGGGAAAAAAATTGTTCACACTAAATAACCTTAGATATTTTGATGTTTGTAAGTGACATACATAGATATTATATATATGAATCATTTGCAGTATAATTGATGCTGATTACTCCTAAAAAAATTGAATATTAGTACAAAGTGTGTACCCCAGGGGGCAAATTCGTGACCCATTTCCTTACTATTTTGATCCTAACTTTTCAACTAGACACTGTAAGAGGTTGAAAAAATTCATGTGAAGTGCCCAATAGCAGGGTTAGTAACCCTGAAAGATGCAAAGCCATGGAAGAGGTAGGAGCTGAGAAAAAAATTGTTGATTTTTCGAAAAATTTGACATTTTTGACAGCTGGATTTTGTGTATGACTATAGCTGACCCCTATAATTCCTGGATCCATCCCTCTATGATGATATATATGGTTTTATAGTGTGGAACTAAGATGTAAAACATAATAAAGATGGGTTTTAAGGAAGTTTAAGGTTTTAAACAAGTCCAAAATTTGAAAAATTGTAAATATAAGGTTTCAAATTTACGAATTCCAGGTAGAGCCATGGCAGACCCCTATAGTTTCTAGATCCACCCCTCTATGGTGATATATATGGTATTGCTGTATGGAACTAATATGTAAAACACAATTTAGATGGGTTTTAAGGAAGTTTAAGGTTTTAAACAAGTTCAAAATTTGAAAAATTGTAAATATAAGGTTTCAAATTTACGAATTTCAGGTATAGCCATGGCTGACCCTTATGGTTTTTACATCCATACCTCTATGATTAAATATACAGTTTTAGAGTGTGGGACTAAGATTTAACATACCCAAAATGAATTTTAAGAAAGTTTAAGGTTTTAAACAAGTCAAAAATTTGAAGAATTGTAAATGTAAGTTTTCAAATTTATGAATTTCAGGTATAGCCAAAGATGACCCTTATGGTTTTTTACATCTATACCTCAGTGATGAGATATATATTTTTAGAGTATTTAACTAAAATGTAAAAGATGCATAAGATGAGTTTGAAGGAAGTTCAAGGTTTTAAACAAGTGCAAAATTTGAAAAATTGATCTCGAAAATTGGTCTCAAATTCACGTTATTCAGGTACAGCCTTGAATGAGCCCTGATAATCGAAGGTTATGAGCATAATAGTAACAACTGTGATATCATAGCTTAGAGACCAGGTGTAGAATATATACCTGTTGCAGCAGTTAGTCTGTTGCATATAGATGGAGTGAAAAGTCATGAACTACAGTAAAATCTTTCTAATCTGAATGCTACTAGATATAGTATTTGGACCAGCTAAAAGCGTTCAAATTAGAAGTGTTTGAATTTTGAGGTTTTTACATCTGCAATATTCTGGATTTTGAAGAAATATGAATGCATTCTCAATGAAAAATATTAATAAATATTAATAATATTTATACTGACCACCCAAAAAGCTTAATAGCATTCCAAAATCCAATTCAAAAGTTTTGATATCATAACAATGCAGTGTTAAACTGACAATATTTGAGCAATTTTGTAAGAAATTTGTGATATTTGGTAAAAAAAAAGTTCAAGTTAAACAGGTTGATTTTTCAAATATGAGTGTTCACTGTTCGAATTAAGAGGTGTTCAGATTTCAATTTTTAAACATAGGAGTCAATGGGAGGAAGGAAAAATTGAACTGGGGAAAAGTGTTCAGATTGGTTGGTTTTCAGATAAGTCAGGTGTTGGGATGATTGGTAGGTGTTCACAATAGTCAGATGTTGGGATATACAGGTTTCACTGCTGATATATCATTTATACATCAAGATGATGAACTAGAACTACTGTACTAGGTGCCTTTGATAATTTTTACCACAATGTTATACTATGTCAGGAAAAGAAAGCACCCATGACACTGTGCTTGTACAACTTGAAAATCAACAACACTTTAACATTTGATAAAGGTGTCTACCAAATGAGTAATCCACATAAATTCAAATACAAGCACTTGGCATGCTATTCCCTATGATCATTAGTTTCTCTAGAATCTAAAATTGACCTTTGGTTTATGAGAGTAGTAAATTGGAATGCAGTTATATGGAATATTGAATTGGCTGGAATTGGACACACCTTGCCTAGAAATGTGTGAGTAAACTATGATCTTATATGGATACAAACAGTTCGTTTGACAATGATCATCTTAATTCTGTAAAATCAGAACTTAAAAAGGGGTTTGAAATGGAGATCGATGAAACCATACCACAAATTGATAAAACTTTCGTGATTGATGCAATGGCTATGACAAAGGGAAAATGAAGATTAACTTATATGTTGAAATTTGGAGAGTTTTGGAAAGCTATATTTGACTACTCCATCAAATCTAGTAAAGGAGCCCAAAGAATAGATTTCATATTAGACTCCTAGCTAGTTGCCTCCATCAGTAAAGTATTCTGAAAGAATGCGAAGAATGGATGCTTCCCCTATTGAACTTTAATCCATAGAAGAAATTACACAATAACCTTAAAATATGAATACCTTTGCCCAAGTAATATAAGACAAATTTTCAAAGATTACAAAGAAATTCAATAAAGCAGCATTCTAAAAGTGTGCCAAATGTCAAGATTGTTTTAAGTGGAACTATTGGAGAGAACTTAAATATCTGTGAAAATGATAATTAAATCTCCTGTTAAATTCCACTCCTGAAGAGGCTGATTTAAAAATTATTCACTCTGCTTTACATTCAGCAGAACATGTGGGACTGCAGTAATTTGCATCAAATGACACTGATATTATAACTTTATGACTATCATTTCAATAAATGAAAAAAATTCTTCAACTATGCTAGAAAATGTCATCTGCAAAGTCAGTATGTAAACATTTTCTACAATGTCTGTTTGTTTGAAACATATTGATCATATCACCAATACTTTTTTGATCTACATGAAGATTTTAATGTGACAAGACACTTTTACCCTAGAGTTCCTTATTGCACTAACGGAAGTTTCTAGGCCCGGGGGGGGGGGTATGATCCTTTTAATCCTTATTTTCCCAAATAATTACTGTTGCCTGATGACAAATTGTTTTATTGGGAGTGTAGTGATTATAATTTGATAATTCATAACAACATTTTGTATTAGGAGATGATCATTGCTTAGTAACAGAAGGGGCATAACAAAATATAGAGAAAACATGTTTCTTTTAATTAACCATGTCTTTATGTATTTTGATAATGCAGAACATTACATCGAACATGTTGATGTGAAAAAGTAAAAATGCTATATCACATAATAAATATCATCAAATAATAATTAATTAGTTATAATCCATTTAATCAATCAATTACTACACTGTATACGATATCCCTAGGAGCAGTTACACTTACTGGGGGATTTATTAACCTCTCACCCCTTAGGAACTCAAGGGTTAAGTCCTCAACTCTAATGATTTTTCTTTTAACAATACATGTAACATGGATCAAACCTGACCACAATATTTTCAACATCTAATTTCTAAGCTAAGTCATACATTCAAAAAGAGGGACATCCAGGGCTATACCTGAAATCGTAAAGGAGGACTGGAAGTATCGCAACAGATTTCAGCAATCATATGTTGGATTTTGGCTATTTTCTGAGGATTTGAGGAGGTGCATATGTTAGGCCAATGCATTTCCTCCAGGAAAAGCACCCATAGAGATGATAAAATAATTTCTATTTTGAGACAGGGAAGGTGCAAACAACCCACCCACATGCATAAATATATATGTGTATATGTATAAATATATGTGTTTTTACATACAGTTAACCCCTTTAAATGAAAAATACATTCCATCAGGGATTTTAAAGATATCACATATGGGTGACCAAAATTAAGCTGAAAGCAATGGATCACATGAGTTTTCCCTATGGGAAAATATTGTTTTCCGCTTTATCTAAAAGAAATTTATCCTTTTAAAGGTTAACTATGTCTCAAAACGCAACATATTGATGCAACAAAAATTGAAAAACCAGGGGTGAATGGGGTTGAAAATCGGGACGATATTTCCCAAAAAACATGTTGGTGGATTGTTTTCACCTTCGCTGTCTCAAATTCCAAACTATTTTATCATCTCTAAGAGTTCTTTTCCCGTAGGTAATGCGATGGTCTATCATATGCACCTGCTTAAATCCTCAGAAAACAGACAAAATCCAACATATGACTGTCTGAAATCTGTTGCGATACTTTCCGTGCTCCTTTGAGACCTGATATTTCTCAATTTTTCAAATATTGCACTTGTTAAAATTCTTAAACTTCCTTAAAATTCATCTTCGGTATGTTTTACATCTTAGTTTCACACTCTAAAAGTATATGTTTCATCATAGAAGTATTGATGAAAAAGCCATAAGGGTCATCCATGGCTATACCTAAAATTCGTAAATTTGAAACCTTATATTTACAATTTTTCAAATTTTGAACTTGTTTTAAATCATTAACTTCCTTAAAACCCATCTAAATTATGTTTTACATCTTTAGTTCCATACTACAAAACCATAAATATCATCAAAGAGGGATGGATCTAGAAACTATAGGGGTCAGCCATGGCTCTACCTGGAATTCGTAAATTTAAAACCTTACATTTACAATTTTTCGAATTTTGGACTTGTTTAAAACCTATAACTTCCTTAAAACCCATCTAATTTATGTTTTACATCTTAGTTTCACACTATGGAAGCATAAATATCATCCAAGATGGATGGATCTATAAACTATAGAGGTCAGCCATGGCTATACCTGGAATTCGTAAATTTGAAACCTTATATTTACAATTTTTCAAATTTTGGACTTGTTTAAAACCTTTAACTTCCTTAAAACCCATCTAAATTATGTTTTACATCTTAGTTCCACACTATAAAACCATAAATATCATCATAGAGGGATGGATCTAGAAACTATAGGGGTCAGCTATAGTCATACACAAAATCCAGTTGTCAAAAATGTCAAATTTTTCGAAAAACCAACAATTTTTTTCTCAGGTCCTACTTCTTCCATGGCTTTGCATCTTTCAGGGTTACTAACCCTGCTATTGGGCACTTCACATGAATTTTTTCAACCTCTTACAGTGTCTAGTTGAAAAGTTAGAATCAAAACAGTAAGAAAATGAGTCATGAATTTGCCCCCTGGGGTACACACTTTGTACTGATATTCAAATTCTTTAGGAGTAATCAGCATCAATAATACTGCAAATTATTCATATATATAATAGCTATGTATGTCACTTACAAACATCAAAATATCTAAGGTTATTTAGTGTGAACAATTTTTTTCCCCAGGTTGGGGTGTTTTTGGGGGGTGGGGGGCTAACTCCTCAAAAAAAAGAACTTCCTACCACTCTGCAAAGCTATCACCTAGGTGGAAATTTCATCCAAGACTCTCCCCTAACTGAAAATACTGCCAAACCAACTATACACCATTTATTGAGAATTTTCCTCCTCGCCCCTTGAGTAATTGGGAAAATCGATAAAAATTTATCAATGAGGGAATAGAATGGGTTCTAAGAAATATTCTTAAAATAAAAATATTCTTAAAGTAAAATAAAAAAACTAAAATAAATATTGAAGATAGTACATGTACTGTGTTTGATTTTACATTTCAGAATGGAGAAATGGGGTCAGAGGTCGTATGATCCTCCAAGATGAGGATCTGACAACTAAGGTTGAGTCAGGAGACTATAAAAAAATTAACACTTTGGCACATTATAAGGTACATCTAGTTTACACATTTTTTGTAATCATTTCAGCTTGAAGTTACTGTATAGAGTTGCATATTGACATTTCTGAACACATCAATATAAGGTTAAGGATAAGGTTCACTCATGAGATAACACGAACAGCAATATATACACTTTTATCCCAACCATACATTTTATTTTACTTTAACCCTTTAGGTGCCAGATGGTGCTATAATGGCTCTCATTCCCCGCCAACCATCAGGGTACAATATGTCCTTACTCTCCGACAAGTCAGGGGCATCAAATCGCTATGGTGAGTTAATGAAAGGTAGGGGTCTATCGGATGTAGATGTGAATTTTTGAAAAATAGGAGCACATCTCTCTTATATACATAGTGCAAGAAATTCTTTTTCTTGAGTTAATGTCGAAAATTAATTTTTCATGAAGCTGTGTTTATTTAGGACAAAACGTAACAATCAAAAACACTCCCTGCATCGTGCACATAAAACATGGAACATTTTATTTGCAGATTCTGTTCTTTACTACTCAATGTCAGGGAGTCCAGCCATGAGTCGTTCCGTATCTCCAAATACAGTCAGTGTGGATATAGAGGGACCAGGCTCCAAGTACTACCATCTAGTAAGTATATGCCTACCAAATATGAACAAGATTTGTCAATTATCCTTATAATGACACATGTTTCTGTTAGAACATTTTGATAACCATTTTTGTATTAAACACTATTGGTCAGTAATTTGAAAGTCAGGTTTGTCAAAGTCTGAATTAATATTGAGAATGGGGTTTGTGCTAGAAGTTGGGCACTTAAATCATGCATACAGCTTGTACTTAAAACAAATGTACTCAAGAATGAAGAAACACTATTGGCATCTAGTTTTTAACGTTGTCTTTTGTGCTTTTAGCACTCTAACATAAAAAATCATAGAAAAAATAAAATGCATGAAGGTATAAATCATATATAACACACTGAGTCTAAAAGTGGAAAAATATTTGATTTTTGATATTCTTCCCCAGGTGAAACCACATGACAGTGAAAAAGAGAAAGAAGGAGATAGAGGTAGTAAGATGGTCTCTGAGATCTACCTCACCAGACTTCTAGCTACAAAGGTGAGTAATGAGAAATATCACACACTTACTGTTATGACTGACATCCTATTGGTTGAAAATTATAATTGAATTACAGGGATATTGCACATCAACATGAAATTCATTTGATTTATTGTACCACATTTATTTCCCTTTTTGATTTTTTTTATTGAAAATGAAATATTCTGTTGTTTATCTCCCACATATTACTAGTGATGGAAATGAATGGTCTGAAACTACAAATGTAGTTTACTACTTTAACAATGTTGCATGAAATCTCCATGCATTGGCAAAAATAATATCTCAATCTTTCACGATCATTTATTTAGGTTTAATGATTTTTTTAATTTAGTTTTTTTGTTGACATTGTTTAAAAATTTTGCATATAAAATTGAGTGAAATAAAAACAATGTTGTCATTCTATTTCCCCATATTTGTTTATGTTGTAAAATCACACAAAATATGATTTCATTTAATTTTCAATATTTCATTTAATTTAATACTACTGTATTTGCACTTTTATGTAATAAACATGCACTATTGTATTTTTGAAATCTTCTATTTCTTTGATTGAGTTTTATTTGGATTATTTTTGCTTGCGCTTGGATAAAATTAGGTTGATTTAACTGTAATGCACGTAAGTTCTTTACTTTTATAATGTGCATTGATATACTGTTGTGAAGCTTTGAGGAAAATGTTATTTATATCATGTTTGAAATGCAACATATAGCTCAAAAGAGTGAAATTAGCAAGGAATAACATAAACAGGCATACGGTTCATACTCTAAATTGTACAGAAATACTAGAAAATTAGACACTCCATTGAAAAATTTGAACTTGGAAATTTTAGCATGATGGGAATGTAATTTGCAGGTATTGTTGATTAAAATGATATCCAAAATAGATGTCTCTGGTACTATGGCCAAATATAAATATGTTGTTGTATAGATGTCAGTGGTGGTGTTAATCTAAAAGTGTGCATGGCTGATTCTGGATATTGTTTAAAAACAAAATTCATACCAAAAATCATGGGATGACCTACCCGCTTTTAGTAACTTAGGTGTAACTGTTGTATGGCTTGTACCCTGAGGATGGGACAGATGAAAAATTGAAAAAAAAATTTATATTGTGCCAAAAGTGTAAATGTTTCATGATTCATTTTTTTATATGATATTGTTGAGACATTTGAAAAGTTTAGTTAGGACGACCTCCCCTGTCTTGAATGTACAGAGTGTCCCTGTAATTAAGTTTGTTTAAAGGCTTAAATATGCTTATAATATTCCGCTGTTCTCTTCTTCAGGGGACGTTACAACAATTTGTAGATGATCTATTTGAGACCATCTTCAGTGTGACACACAGGGGTACAGTCCTGCCCATTGCCATAAAGAACATGTTTGATTTCCTGGATGATCAGGCCCTGTTGCATGGTGTTGCAGACCCTGAAGTGGTCCACACCTGGAAGTCCAACAGGTAAGGGGCATCTACTGATATTTGAGCACACTTTTTTAAAATATATGCACTATGCAGCGTTCTCCGCTAGTCTTTTGAAAGATGATGGCACTGTGTGATGTGATGCAAATTAAATTCATTTTTTCTCCAGGTTCTAAAGATTTCCTTGCGAAAACTCTGATTTATATAAAAATGTAGACAACAGATTTAATTTTTATGAACTTTTTTTTATAAAATTGATTTTTATCATAAGAAATCTAGGATAGCCATCTCGCAAGATTAGTGATTTTCTCCCCACAGCATTGCTACCACCTATTCCAACTATCCTATTAATTCAAAAACCGATAACTACAACTTTAGAAGATTACTTAATACAGTAATTTTAATCATGATTTAAGAATGTGATAATTTTGTAACTTCCAGTCTTCCATTGAGATTCTGGGTGAACATCATTAAGAACCCAAACTTTGTATTTGACATCCACAAATCGAACATCGTTGATTCGTGTCTGTCGGTTGTGGCTCAGACATTCATGGACAGTTGCTCAATGAGCGAACACAGACTCGGGAAAGATTCCCCATCAAGTAAACTCCTCTATGCCAAAGACATTCCCAAGTATAAGAAATGGGTCGAAGGGTAAGTGAAGCTTTACTCATAATATGCTTATATTGCACTTTTCAATATGTAGCTTTACACATAATGTGGCTTTACATATTGTGTAACTTTATTTATTCAAAATAAAGGTATATTGTTAATGTGGTAGTACTTAGGAGCATGATTTTTTTGATCAACTTCCCACTTAAAGTTTAGTGAATCTGTTTTAACAGATTATTATGGACATTAGCTTGTCAATATTTTGGCAGAACTAGCCAGGATTCAAATCATCTTAAATGCAAACCCTAATATCAGAATTGTTTTATTCTTGCAGCTATTATCGTGAAATCAAACTGATGCCTGCGATTAGTGACCAGGATATGAATGCTATGTTAGCTGATGAATCACGTCAACACACAGAAATATTTAATATTGACGCAGCAATGTATGAGCTGTATCAATACGCAGTCAAATATTATGAAGATGTGAGTATTTTATTCTAAGAAATAATAAAATCAAATTCAAGTCATTATCATTAACATTTTATTCTCATAAAGATGTCTCTTATGATTCTTAAAGTTTCTAAAAGTTTCATCATTTTTGTAAAGATGTCACTCCACTGTTAATATGCCTGATTGCCTGGTGGTTTTGGTTTCTTTTGCTTATGGTGCCTTTAGACTTAAACAGATGACTTGTTTGGGTATGAGCTGGTTAGACAAACCTACACATAAAAGATCTAAATTAAAACTATTTTACTTTGCCTTCCTTAAAATCCATTCCACATCATATGTTTAACTTAACTCTCAAGTAACACATTAACAATATGAGGCATTCATATTTCAATTTCACTCCAACTTCCTATTTCTTTCTTGTTCTAGCTGATGGCAACTCTAGAGGATGACGAATTTGCAAGAAAGAATCGCCTAGCATATAAGTTTGAACAAGTCCAAGCTTGTTTCGAAAGCAATGCCTAAATCTGACGGGACTACATCAAGGGGCAATTTTGTCAAAATGCTTCAGACTTAAAATGCCAAAATGGTTGCCATAGAAACCAGGGATCAACTGCTGAGGGAGCATAGTGGTGTTGCTTTCCATAGACGCTTTTAATTCTAAACGTAATAGTGTAGTGTGGCTACACTTAATATAGTCATCGGTGTACCAAATACTGATATTACATTTTGAGGGCAGTATCATAAAATGCTTGGCCAGTAAATAAAGGAGAAAGCAGAATCTCCCTAGGGAGATCCTAAACTTGAAGCCTCATCTATACAAAACACTATGGAGCTGCTATTTTCATCAGAAATGATTTCTGCTTCTTAGCTTTGGATAAAGGGTGAATTCAGGAATCAGATGAACATATCAATAACTAACCAGGGGGTCATTAACAGAAACTTCATAGAGCTATAAATTGGTAAATCAATTGTAACATGGATATAATGATGTCACAGTTAGGAATCAATAGACTTTATGAATTTCTAATGTTAAGAAGTTTCTGTTAATAGCCTCCATTTTACTTAAATTTCACTACTCCACTTCACTTCAATAATATTGTTGATACTTACAAACTGAAGGAAACAGTTAATGACATCAAGGTGTTAGTTTACACAATGATAATGACATCACGATATGTTGCTATGTTACAGCTTATTGAGAATTTAAACAACGACACAATTGGACACAAAAGCCGTCTTGGGCTGAAATTTGAACTTGCAGTTGCTTGTTTCGAAGAAACTGAGAGTTATGTGTAGACCTAGACCCAACAAGATTGAGTTATATCTCAACGTGAGATGGCATAGCGTTGAATTTCAAGAAAGGCCAAGTATGGACTGTTGTTATGGAGATCTTTCACAACATTAATAATTGACAAAACTTACATACACACTAAACATTTGGGTCATATTGTAGAACACTGCATGAATGTTTTGCAGTATAAGATAAGAAACTGACAAAAAATGAAACTAGCTATAAATTATCACTACAGAGGCTGGTATTTAAGATAGTTAAATGTTTTACCAATGTTTTATCAATTTTACCAATGAAATGACACAACAATTCAGTGGATTTTACAATGAAACATTTTAGTGTTTTATCATTTTTTTCCTCTGTATAAAATGCTCATCTTTCATCAAATATTGTCACATTTGAAATTGTCACAATTTATAGTATATTTATTCTATGCAACATTCATTTTTATGGCTTTGTACACACCTTTTGTCATATACAGTTTCAAAGTGGCAACATGTTTGAATATCCACAAAATGTGAATTTGTGTAATAAAACCAACTTAAACTGTGATGGAAAAGTATATGTGTAAAAGTACTTTTTAATCACCAAGTACTAATAAACAAATTATGGTGCTTTTATGTAAATCATATTATAGGAACAGAAAGCTAATATTCTTTCATGTTTGAGACACCATTTTTATTATAAATGTGATGCTCGTGAATATGCCCATGCAATAAATAGTAAAGAGTCGAACTCATTGTTGAATCCACTGTCTGTTCTATCCCTTGGGATATACACAAGCTTTAGGTGGAGACTGACAAATCAGAATGGGTCAAACTCAATAATGGGCATATGTAGATTCTATGAGCATATATGATATCCTCTTACCGGATTTTAGAAATGGAGTCTCAAACAGAAAGCATGCTTTTGTTTGTGAATCGTGTATATTGTTTAAAAAGTCAAAATCAATATATACCGTATAAATATAACTTAAATGTTAAAAAAGCACTCAACTTAGGATACAATGAACTTTTTGTACAGATGTCAGTTTTTATTGAATAATTGCACAAATTAGATCTTAGAAATTGTCTGTAAGATATAAAGGGATATGATTTGAAGTTTTAGCTTCAAGAAACATGACTTTATAGTCATATGTATCCTCAAAGCAGTCATGTGTTTGTAGAAATATAGTCATGTGTTAGGTCACAATTAGAGATATATTGTGCAGAACTGGCACATTGATGTTTAGAAGTTATAGTAATTTGAATGATAAACTTGAATATATCTCAGTTTAGCGCACAGCTCCTGGAAATGTTTCATATGTAGACATTGCATTTATATACACCATGTACCTGGATTAGACTGGATTCTCGGGGCTGTGCATTTTACTGAACTATATCACATTCAGCTTGTCTTGGCAGTTATGTGTTTTATGTAACTACATACTTCACTTCACACTTGTTTAGGTGGGTGAAGTACAATGATTTTTGATCCTTATATTTTTCACACTTGTTAAGGTGGGTGAAGTACAATGATTTTTGATCCTTATATTTCACACTTGTTAAGGTGGGTGAAGAACAATGATTTTCGATCCTTATATTTCACACTTGTTAAGGTGGGTGAAGTACAATGATTTTTTATCATTAAATATTGTTTTATTATGCCTACCTTGATTTGATGTTTATAGCTTTTATTTGGTGAAATACAGCGTATGTGAGTTAATTAAGATTTTTTCACATATTAGTTAGTGAGGTAGCACCGAAAAATGTACCCGCTTCTGAACAAATTGAAATTACTTGTTTCATATGTATTTTTATGTGATTCTTCAGAAAATTTTAGTCTGACGTGCCGTATCCGGGGCGAAAGTTGTCAAAATTGGGTTTTTGACCCTAAAAAGGAAAATTACAGGGGGTACATTATCATCATTGAATAATTCATTCAGTTGGTCTTCAATCATCATAATAATTTTATTAAGAGTTGATGAGATCATTTTAAGGTAGTATGCAAAGTTTCAATGGTCTGCCACATGGGTTGCCATGGAAACCACAATTTTTGCTGAGAAAATCCTTAATTTTGGTAAAACCTGTACCTGTACATAATATAGAATGTGGATTATTTTTCAAATCAACAGGTATCAGAACATTTTAGCATTCTCAAAATTACCAGGGCAGTTCAAACATTTATTTAAATATAAAGGATATTGCAATTAACATAACTGGGGAGTGTCAAAGACCATACAATTATATAAGTGATCAAAAGTGGGCGTCGCCCTCATCATAGTAGATGATTGCCATTCTCTAAAAATACAGAGTTTTACTTGACTTTTGAGATACATTTATAATGATGTTCTTTGGTTATACTAAATATGAAGCATTTTTGGTAAATAATGTACATGTAAGTGTTATACTTATTGCATGGGGGAGGGGGTAGATGGGGGGGTAACAGAATTGGAAGAGGGCAAAGCTAATCACCCTTAAGTATAAATCTCATCTACATAGTTCTGGATTCCATGGGGTACATCTTCTGGGTCTTCTTCACATTCATCTGAATATATCGGATATTATAATTCTGCATGATTGGTAAGTATAAAGACCATAGAATTACGCAAGTGATCAAAATTGGGCGTCGCCCTTATCATAGATTCCTTCTCTATAAATACAGAGTCTAACTTGACTTTTGAGATACATTTACATTACAACTTCTTTGATTATACTTAATATCAATCATTTCTGGTAAGTAATGCACATCAAATTGTAATAGTTCTTGCCTGGGGGAGGATGGGGGAGAGTAGTAACAGAATAAGGAGGGGGCAGAGGTAATCGGCCTTAAGTATAAATCTCATCTGCATAGTTCTGGATTTCATGGGGTACATCGTCTGGGTCCTCTTCATATTCATCTCAATATATGGGATATTACAATTTACAGGATTTGTCAAACACCATACAATTACATATTAATAAATGATCAAAAGGAGTGTCGCCCTAACAATAATAGATGATTGGTTCTTTGTATAAATACAAAATTGAACTTGACTTTTGAGATACATTCATAGTTATACTGAACTGCTGTTATTATAATTTATGTCAAGCATTTCTGGTAAATACATCTGTGTAAGTTTTATAGTTTTTACATTGGGGCAGGGGTGAATAGTAACAGAATTAGAATGTGTAGATCTCATCTGCCTTAAGTATAAATCTCATCTTTTTAATTCTGGATTTCATAGGGTACATCTTCTGGAGTTTTCTGATTCATCTCCTGGTGTTGCTATATCACCAATCTCTTGTATGAGAATATCAGTCAATACCCACTGGAAAGATATGGAGTCATTTAGTTTCCATTCAAGTCCATCTGGTGGTTCACTACGAGGATTTGCAATATGGGCCATACAGACAATAAGTGCTTTATATGGATGAGTTGGTTACAACAATCAGACAGTCCTTCATAAGACCAACTTAAGAAAATTATCTAGAGATGAGATGAGTGTGACACCCATAATGACCTTGGAAAGGCACAAATAGCAAGTACAGAAAAAGACATAAAGATGACAAAAACCGCAATCAAAGACTTTCTTGATCCATTTACCATTGAGGATGAAGGTCATCTCTACGGTGTATCATAAGGAAAATCTGTGCCAAATGATGTCGCTGCAGATCTCATCGAATTTTAGTCAAAAGGGGAAATTGCATGAAGAGATACCATCTGAGATTAGTTGAAAAAAAGATTTCATGATCTAATAAAACATATGAAATTGAAAACTATAGCAGCAAACTACAGCAGCAACAGTGACAGTGACAGTAAAAAAGTGCTCAGAACAAGCTTATAAGATGGTTCAAATTCATTCTGAATGAAACATCTTTGAACAGCTTCGATCTTGCTAAGGAACATAAAATTAGCCTAGAATGTCTCCTGCAGTTCCTATTGAGCCCTGTGCCTTGGGCTCTAGGAACACTGACTGGACTTCTTGCAAGAACAGAGAAACCCATCCCTAGGCATGAACATGTACCCACAAGTGCCAAAGGGAAAGGACCAAAATTTGTAATAGAACCCAGCAAGAAAAAGAAAACTTCTAAATGTATACAAATCATAAGGAAAACAAACCCCAACTATCCCAAATCATAATTCAACTTGAAAGGTAGTTTTGTTTCTGGATCTGGCGGAGACTTTTTTCAAGATTCTACAATTGCAGATTGATTAGTTTTTGTATGTGATAATTACATCAAAAATTCTATAAAGGAACCTGAAAGAGGGGAGGGACACCTTGCCCTATTTAAGGTAGAAAAACAAGAGTCCCTAAAGATTGGATTTAGTTCTTGTATGATGATGAAAACAAAAAGCAAATACAGGAAAGTGTGCTGCTGGATACTTGAGTTGGAAACAAATGAAGACTGATGTCAGTGGTATTTCCTCCAATATAGACCCTGACATATATGCAGCCTTCCTAGCACTTCACACATTCACAGATGAAGTGTCATGCAGAAGGGGCAATAGCAATAGCACCTTTTTAAAAGGCAAAGGTGGAGCGCCATATACAGATGCACTCAACTGAATGACTCTCAAATCTGCAAGTGTAGTGGTATACTAGTATTCTCCCACATGATATTGTTAATATATTAACATCGGGAGGTGAATGAAAATGATCAGACTATGATATTAATACTTAAAACTGACTGGCCATTGGCTTTGCCCCCTCCCATTTCTGCTACTACCCCCTTGCCCCCCCCCCCCCCCCA